GGGAAAGAAAAATTTCCACTATGTGAAATACTACAGACATTTGTAATTGATACTCAATTGTTTTAGAGAGATCTATTATTTTCCTGACTATTTTTGTGTATGGTATCTACAAGTTCTTTTTTGTTTTTTTTTCAGATTGAAGCAATTCATCATGCAAAGCACATCATCAGGATAACATATAGTGGTCATATCAATAAAATAGAGAAAGACAAACGAACCAGGGACAAGGTTGGATATCATGTCTTCATGCAAAATAGATTGACTAGTACTTGACAACAAATATACGCAAGTTGCGTGTATATTAATGTCTTCCTGCTTTTATCTCCTTCTGTCATCAGTTCTCCGCTTCCTAAAAAAGTTAACTTATTTTTTTCTTCATTTCATTTAATCATTTATTTGTTTTTGCTCCATCCATAATATGTTGACAAGGAAAAATGGTTTCTCTTTTAGAATATGACAGTTTTATGAATGAGTATTTAATACAATATTTTGTTACTGCCTTCGAATAACGATGAATTTGTAAAAAAAACGATTAAAAGTAAAGTGTATGGTGTACAGAAAAGGAACATTTTTGAACCAAACCAATACAGTTTCACTCAGTTATGGAAGACGAACGCAAGTGATTTGAAATTTGAAGTTTATCAGGTAATTTATAGGTACTGGTAGTCTAAAAAAAGATAGACAGACCGAAAACGGACTAATATTCATTATTTTTATAAATATCATAAATTTAGATGAAGTGTTGAGAAAGATTGCTAGTGCTTAAACATTTTGTAAACTAAATCAAGGCTCTGTCAAGAAATCGAGCACTTCCACATGACAGAATAAGTCAGGGTCTGCTGTGGTTGGTAAAGTGAACTTGTACCCGGAGGAGTCAGAAAAAACAGCAATTAATAATCGTTTTTTTGCAAGTTGTTGCATCACAACCAAGGGGAAAGCGTCTCCGCATCTCCACGAATCTTATAGTTCCTCAGGATCCCATTTGGTTTCTAATATCTTCAAAAGCCTACTTTTTGCCACGTTAATATGCACGATATGAAACAGTCATTCTGTTTTTTCAACTGTTTGTTTATTCTTAAAAACATCTTTTTTCTTCTATAACTTACTGTCATCTATAAAACTCAGCACATTAAGGTTCACACTTGACTGAAATGACAATGATTAATATGTAGATTCTTTACTTCTACATGTAATGAAAATGTAGAAAGCAATATTCACGTGATAAAACATCATTTCTAAAGCATAAATCTGAAAAATATAAATAGATACACTCACTCCTATAAACCCCACTTGGCTCTTGGGTGCCTCCGAGAGATGTGTTTTCTCCATTGATCACAATAGTGATGAATAATTCATCGATTTTGGGTGAATTTACTACAGAGAGATATAGCTACATCTGACGAACAAAAAATACATCGCCAAACACATTTTCTTCAAAAATATGATATACCACTGTTATTGTATAAGAATGCTTAGCTACTCGATAATAATTAATATAATTAATGATACATCAATCACCTAAAATTAGAATTCAAGGCAATCTGTTCTCTAATGTTCTAAGCTGCGCCTAAATCTCTCAGATCAAACTACGTGAAGATTTTATTGTACATATTTATAACCTTAATAATAATTTCAATCATCAATTGAAATTATGGATTATAGCAGTAATCAATTGCGAAAAACAACATTGATTACTATCCTTTTCAATTTGAACAGTCAGTGGCTATTTTTTGAACAACTAGAAAACAAAAGGTGGTTAAAACTTGCTATTTTCATTATTTGAAAACCCAGGCTCTGACGGTTCTTTTAATAAACAAAATAAATTTCAAAATCTTTTTTGCAGGTAGTCTTTGTAACGATCTCTCGAGAACTCATTTGATTCTCCAAAAACCAGAATAAGAATATATTGTCTGTTTCCATGAATAGATAGTGCAGTATCCTCTGTGAAATGGTAATAAACCAGGACGTTTGGTTTCCAGTAATCCTCGCGACGCATTGGATTTCCTGAGAGCTCCAGGACTAGTATCTAGCGGCTTTTGGTAGTTTGTAAATTAGGTGGTAGGTAATCGATTACGCTGAATATTGTGATAATGTTTGTTTTTTAGCAAATATTCAATAACCTAGCGAAAGTTGGTGAAATACACCATTTAAAGTCGTTTTTGCCTGATACTAAGAAATTTATTCGTCCGTCAGATTGCAGCAATTTCAAAAATCCAACACATAATTAATTTTGACTGCGATATATCACGAATAAGGAAACGTTTCAAGAAAATATTTGATTTTCCAGCCATATTTCAAGAAAATCCTGGAACAAAAAATATTTTTTCTTGCTTTTCGATCCCATACGTATATTACAAAACAATCCGTCTTCTGAAGTTTCGAAGTCGTTGTGATAAGCCTTATAATTGGAAAAGGCTAGCAGTATTTTTATCTGTGATCGAGGAAAAGATGACGCATGACAAATACAAGATATTCGTTATTAAAACAGAATAATATTTGAACGTAGTCAAAGAAAATGTATGTTCTACAGTACTTGTCAGGCCTGCGTACTTGAGGAAATTTGTAATAAAATTAAAATTATAATTTTACAATTATGGATTCATTAGATATCCATTTCTGCGTAATTTTGCTTAACTTAATTTTTTCCTATTTTACCATGATTATTATAATGAAAGGTATCTTTTTATTTAAAAAATCATATAGAATTCTTAAACTTTGATATATCAGAAGGCGAAACATCTAGACTTTTTTGTATATGATTGCATATTCTACTTGTTTATTTTACTGAATTTGCTCTTCTAATTTGGTCAAATATACTTAATAACATATGGTTATCAAAAACGTACAAACATGTGTTTTTCTTTGGGTTGTTTCGCTTTATTCACAAATATATTCTATTTTACGTTTAGTTTCTCTCTCACTATCTCTCTTTCAACAGAATACAGAAGATGATGAAGACAAAAAATTGATACGACAGCCAGATATAGCGTGCACAAAAAAGAAAAAACCAAACAAAATGTCATTTATCAAAAAGTACAACAAACGAAATACAACAACAAAAATGAAAGATGTGAATGAATAATCACATCTAACAGGAAACAAAACGTTTGTTGTTTATTTTCTCCTCTCTTTTTTTCGGTTTTCCTTCTCACGTGTATATGGATGTATGTAATTTGGTTGTATTGCAGTATATAAGAAAAAAGAAAGCGACAAGTGGCGACGACAAGGATGAAAAAGAAAAACAGATAAAATTGGCTTATTCTTAACAAGAAAAAAAATAAAACAAATGAGACAATAAAATAAAAAAACCGGTTCGCGAGCAAAAATTTGACTACGGGCATAAAAGTTGCCATCGTCGATGCTGTTCTTAAGAGAAAAAGAGATGAAAACGAACCAATGACAAACCTATAGTTTTCGTTCACTTCGATAGATTACGATCTTTCTCGTTATGATTGTGCACGAATACCTCTACCAGTTCTCATACCACCTAAAAAAAACAGAACAGAATAGCAATATTACCAGATATATTCAAAATTGTGCGACGACGATCTTTTCGTGAAATAGATAATATGTTCAATAGTCTAGAAACCTTAATAACGCATCATTTGTAAGCACTCAGGAAGAGGTCTTAGATCAATGATTTATCAAAGAATGAGTCTTAGATTAGCTTGATAAAATCGTTTATCAACTGTAGAAAAAAACCTACAACTTTAAAATACTTTGAGGAGAGAAATCGCTTGATCTACTCGGCTGTCTTTATAATAGGTAAAGCCCACCTTCTCCAAATAGCTCACGTCATTGCTCAGACTTTTACATTTTTTTCTTCTTTTTGAGAGAGAAAACTTCGATACTACACAAATTGAGTCAGCCTATTTCTGTTGAAAGTTAGTGCATCCTGAGGGTTTCAGACTTATTGACTGAATCATTTACCTCGTTGGTAACCATATCCTCCTTGCATTTGACGTCCTCCCATGCCACCATTACCGTTCATTCCATAATTTCGGTAATTATTATATCCACCTCCTCCACCACCATTCATTTCATATCCATCATATCCTCCATTTCCACCCATTGGTCTTTGACGATTGTTATAATTTTGATTGTTATATCTCATACTGTTATTATAATACATTTGACGATTATTATTATTGTACATATTTGAACCGCGTCCACGGTAGAAACCACGTTGTTGTTGTTGATATCCACCCACTGCTGTTTGCGGACGATAGGATAATCCAAATGTTTCAGCATTGATTTTACGCTCTTCAGCCCAATTACGACGTGCATTACTAAAGAAAAAGGAAAAATAGTATATATTATTTGCACAACTTTTATAGAAATAAAACTTACGTTTTATCTTTTTCTGTTGCTTCACATGAGATACGATCAAAAAAGCTTTTTGTTTTATCATAAAAACCACTTTGGTCAATACCATCTTGTTGTTGTTGTGATTGAGATTGTTTCGTTGAATTTGTATTATCATTTTCGGAACTTGTTGTTGTTGGTGATTGGGGTTTTGTTGTTGTCGTTTGTTCATTTGTAGTGGAATTTGAAGTAGGTGTTAATTTTGTTGTTGCAGTATCCGATGTATCCTTTTTAGCTAACATGACAAACTATGCAGGTAATGTTTCGTTTGTACAAAATAGAAAAACAACAACTTACAATTGGCTGATGTAGATGTTGATTTGATCGAAAGACTTTTTTTTAGTTCTTCTGTAATAGCATTTTTATCAAACTCAGCATTGGCTTTTTCAAAATCAAAATCACCGGTAAATTTTAATGCTGTACGGCTACCGCGTGTCGAATTAGCACGTTCTCTAGTGGAATTTGCACGTTCACGTTGCTGTGGTTGTGACTGCTGGCGCATAGGTCGCTGTTGTTGATTACCAGTCGAGCCTACAACAGAAAAAGAAAGAGTATGTATGATGAAAATGCAATCGTGAGACTTTGTTCTCTCCAAAAATAAAAATTCCTTTGTTCCACATTCTTGGACAAAAAGATTTCTTAATTTATATACAAACTTTGTATTCAGACTACTTCACATTTTTCATCCCATAAGATCTACGTCTGACAAATAGTCTACTGATGAAAAAACCATCTATTCACATAAAAAACACTTTTGGGGCAAAAAACGTTTGTAAAATTACTTTTTCATCATAGCATTCCTAC